AGGAATGCCTGTCGATCTGGCAACAGCCCTTATTTTTTGGCCATCCGATATAAGTTTTAAGGCGTTGCTCATCTGTTCTTCAGTGTGAAGTCCGATAAGAGTCTTCCTTACCCGATTGCGAGGCATTTTTACCTAAAAAAAAAAGACGAATGAAATTCAGCTTCACGGGTTACAATGGATCAGCAGTCCACTGTGACCCAAAACAAAATGATTCACTGTGACCCATTGGACTTTATGAAAAAACAATATTACTAAACAAAAACTACCTATCTCAATGACAAAACAACATGATTTACAATAAATTTAGTTAATAACAAACGTACGACAAAATACAAACATTCATATTTCTTATATCCCTAGAAATAAACCAAAATTTAAAATCACGTAAAAAAATAGTTTCGTTACTTACCTACTGAGCAGAGTGTGACAGCACGTGTTCCCGCATTGATACCGCGACGGCGACTAGTTCGGAGGAGAGGGGCATGGACGAGCAATAACAACACGTTTGTTTGTGTATGCAAGTGCAACACATATTGAGTTTTACTGAATTATCCACTGTACCCCGCGATTCACTGTGACCCAATCTCCCCTACATATTATAAATAGTTCAGAAATCGAGTCTCGCAGTTTTTTCCAAGCTTTACTGGAAATGTAGTTTCCAAAACCTTTAATTACTTATAATATTGTGTTTTATAAGTGAAATATTGTACCTCGAAGATTGATTACGTACTTTAAATGAAGACTATATTTTTTATGATTTACTTAGAAATGTATAGTTTTCCGCTTTTTTCTGTACTTGTAGTATAAGACGATATTACTCATAAAATTTCATAGGTCTACGGAAAGTAAATTTTGATTTCCTTGAGAGCGTCGAAATATGCATTTTTTGCGAAATGGATTTAATTTTAACTCGACACCTCCACTAGTCCTAGAGATAAAGCTTCTTGGCAGACAGACGGACAACAAACTGGTCCTATAGGAGTACCGGTTTTTTTCCTTTTGAGGTACGGAACCCTATAAAGAGTAAAAAAAAATATCCTACTCTTGAAAGTTCTATGATTATGTTTCGGTACTAAAAGGGTTGAACATCTGTCTGTGGTTATACTTGATATTAGTCGATGAAGGAATAATATGAGTTTAATCAACTATGTTTTTTCTCTCTTGGCTTGATTTTTTAAAGAAAACCCTGTCACTGTCACTCACGATTGATTTTTAAACCCATAATCCCCATAAATAGAATACATAATATACAGTATGTTTAGGTCCGTGTGATGACGGCTTAAGAATACGGAGTGTCACCATTACTATTCATCTCATGGGTGTCGTAAGAGCCGAATTAGGGAGCAAACTACGCAGGACCAAAACACTATACCAACCCGTCTGGCCTGCGTGATAGTAGGCCAAATTCCCCTTTGTAAGAAGAGGCCTATGTCCAACAGTGGACTGTTAAAGGCTGTTGTTGTGTATGATGTGATGCAGACACTTAAGCAGAGTGTTTGGGTTCAGACGCCGGTAAAAGAGTTTTTATGGGCCTGTAACGAACAATGTTATAGAGCAGAGATTACTTTGACACGTGTTGTTTATTTATCTAAGTATAAATAAATAAAGTAATCAAGGTCAGAAGCTTTATTGTATATGTAAATTAGAATAAATAACTGCAATTCACGTTCAATGCACGCGTTCGTTCAGATGTTTTCAATGCAAATTAAAATATTCTAGACCTGTTTTGTTATTTATTTAAGGATGTCCAAAAAAATGTACACACAATATCGAAAACATATTTCACAGTGGTATTTGTTATGTGTACTTTTGCAACTATAGGATACCAGAGCATTAAGAACTAAGTACCTACATAAATATTTAATACAACAGAATTAAAAACAAAAGGTGCTTAGGAGTAACAATAAAGTAATAAATATCAAGCTTACTATTTGCTTTACTTTACTATTGCTTTTTTAGAGAAAGACACCCAGATGTCAATATTAAGAGCCTGCTTAAGTAATGTATTGCCTTTTTATTTTGTACGTGTGGCAACCTCCTCGGACCTTCAAGCCACCGGGGTTTGCGTCGGGGTAGTGTGTCGGAATCGGACCGACTAAAACCACACGGTGGGCCACTCTGCGCCTGTAATAGGTTGAGCCCGAGAAAGACCAAGTATCCAAGTATCGAGAAAGACGTTCTACAATTTGTGAAGAGATGTGTAAAATGTCAAAAGTCACTAGACTAGAAAAACAGGTCCGTCTTGTCTTTGGTTTCTTTTTAATTTGAACATAAGATTACACATAGTATTATAATTAATTATTAATACTTATGTAACAATTTCATAATATATGTTCATTTGACTTAATTTGGCGCTATAAAAAGACAAATAGAAAATGAGGCACCACCTTAACAATTGGTAATTGAAAGGCATTGAATATAGTTTGGCAAGCATTATTTAACGCATGGGTAAAATGGGAATTAAGGCGGCCATATTTTGTAAGGTTATTTCGTTCGTTGAAATAACTATTTTCCCGCCTTTACAATTCTGTCAACGTCATCCATATGTCATATTTGTTATTGCATTTTTATGGCCTGGTAACAAGACCTTTAAGCCAAGTCTTAATTTTTGATAGATAACTTCACTATTTTCACTTCACTTCAATGTTCAAATGGGGATTCTAGGCGGGAATCTGTCCAAAATCCTCCGCCCTTTCAGTTCAAGTTCCCGCCTAGAACTCCCCATATGTCAAATGATTGTTGTCAGGGTTGCCAGTTTATATATTTCGCTAACCCTCAAAACCCCCAGAAATAACCCAAACTTGGAATTTGAATCCCCTATTTTGAAATATACCAATGCCATTATTATACACCTAGGTGTTTTCGCTGGTCACCCAAAAGAACAGACTGTCTAGTTTGGACACCAAATCTCCATGCGCATGCATGCAAAGCACTTTTAACGTGGGAGAGCCACACAAACCGGTTGGTTTTCACATAGTCAGTGGGGTTGCCCTCAGGCTCATCTCCAAATATATAAGTAAGTTTATCGGCAGTCTGGTTACCATAGTACAGGCTCTGCCTAGTTTGGGATCAGACTGCCGCGTGTGAGATGTGTGAGGTTATTATTATCTATACTAATATTATAAAGCTGAAGAGTTTGTTTGTTTGAACGCGCTTATTTCAGGAACTACTGGTCCGATTTGAAAAATTCTTTCAGTGTTAGATAGCCCATTTATCGAGGAAGGCTATAGGCTATATATCATCACGCTAAGACCAATAGGAGCGGAGTACCAATGAAGAATGTTTCAAAACGGAGAAAATTTATTACTATTGAGAGACGCAGACGAAGTTGCGCGGGTCAGCTAGTTATTAATATAAACATAGAGTGAACAAGAGCCCCAATCGTGCAACATAGGCAACGAGAGAGATGTATAATAGATAGTTCTCTCTATCTCTTCCTAGTCGAGCTCTATGGCTGGGGAAATTCCTAATCTACCGCCTGTTCTACGATCAAAACCGTGCCTACTTCACGATAGCCAATCGCAGTTTAGTTAAGCAGAGACAGAGGGAACAACCGGCATCCATCTCTCTCGTTGCCTGTGTCGCTTCCACTTATAGGCAGCTTTACCGTGTTCTCTATGCTTATATCTCTATGGTAAATATAGTGTGATTTTGGTATATTGATTTAAAAAAAAATCAAGGTTTCGGTAGTTTTTAACATTAGGTTTATTGGCAACCTTAATATTTTTCTCAATTTATTTAGAATAAAACACATTTTTTAAAGATATAATTTATTAAAACTCTTATTTCAACATTATTTATACCTACTAGAATATCCCTTTCTCATATTTTTTACAAAACGAGGTGGTTTTACAATTTCAATGCAGTAACATATTTATTATTGCCAGGATACAAAATACACTCTTTATAATAATCGTGTTATTTGTGCTTTGCTTTGCTGAGATTTTAGTTAAACATTTTGACATCAGATGGCGCTTAAACAATAAAACAAAGAAATTCCTAGAAATACGAACAGATTTCAAAGAGGCAAGGGATTTATTTATAATCGATTTGTTGTCTCTGCTTTAACCCTATTAAAAAACGACGAATTATTTTTCCCTATTACCTCGCATACAGATTATACAGAAAAAATATTAATCCACCACCACTCACTTCGAATTAGGAACTCGTTATAGACAATGAAACGAACACACGAATCTCGAGGACTTATAAACTGAACCTTTTAAACTTTAAAAGTATTTTTTGTACGTATATATAACGACAAGCCTACGAATAATGATATGTAAAAAGACTAATAGAACCGAATCGTAAAAGCATGCTTCGGCACTGGCGAAAGAAAAAAGAAATTGTTGCTTTTTACTCAGTTACCCAGGTTACTGGAGAATCTACCTGCCCCCCTCCCCCCATGAGGGTCTTTTAAGAGCCTCATTAGTGCGATAGCACCTTTATATAATAAGTAGAATATTTTTTTAATAAACATTAACAAAGCGTCATACCACCGTAAAACATACACAACCACTAAAAGCATACCCAAACACAATAACATATTAAATACATTACAATGACATATTAAATAAAACATTACTATTAACATAACCCTCACAACAGTACACGTAGCGGTACAGTTTAGTTTGGCCACGCCCTCCGCGGTATAGTTTGTATGGTATCAGGATGTTTACGAAGGTGAGTTTATCGGAATTGGAATTAGAATCGGAACTGGCGTCAACGGTGCAAAAGATATGTGTTTGTTAATTATAAAGTTTGACTTTTGACATTGTACACTTTTGACATTCTGCACTTTTGACAATTTGAGATCGTTTGTCATTTTGCGCTTTCGATGTTATGCTCCGAATCTCTTAGCTTGAATTATAATACATATCTTTACATATCATTATTCATAGTTTGAGCTTCTAAAGTCGTGCTATAAAAAACTCATAAAACGTCAAAGCTATTGTATTTGTGGATTTAAGATGAGAAAAGGTTGACCGAGTTCTAATTGACTATGTGGTAACGGGCGCCACAGCTTCTAATTCCGTGCCGCACAGCTTCCTGAAGAACTCTTTGGACTCAAAGCATCTTGCGCTGACGCAGTGTGGACATCTAAAAAGGGAAGAATAATATTTAACTTTAAATATTGTATCACTGACTTGAATTATGGCATTGTAACTCAAAAGTCACGAATTCGATGCAGATTGTTTCTTATTTAAAAAGACATCTCCCGCACTAGAAATATATCCTGTGTCGCGGGGACTTTACAAACATATATGAAACGGGCATAAAGAACACCCAGACTCAGAACAACAATTTGTGGATCATACAAAGTCTTGTTCCTTATGGGAATCGAACCCACAACACTCAGTGGAGTAGGAAGATACGAGGTGACCGCTTAAACCACTACACCATCCGTGTAGTCAGTTAGGACTCACTCGGTGACACAAACAATTAATGAACACGGGTTTTCTGTGTGTGAAGAAGGGCTGGCCCACTTTTGATGTTATAAGAACGGGGATGACTTTTAGAGTCACACCAGAGTGGAGACTTTTATCCAGTCTGATATTAATCCTGAAAGTCGCGTCATCTTATGACTAAGATCACCTGTCGAGTTGGCAACTAGTCGGGCAGCTCACACTCGGCTGTATGATCCTAAACTAGGCAGAGCCTGTACTATAGATATAGACTGCTGATAAACATCCATACTTATATTATTAATGTTTGTTTGTTTATTTGTTACGCTTTTATGTCTAAACTACTAATCCAATTTTAATCCTTTCACCAATGGAAAACTAGATTATCAGCTAATAACATAGGCTAGTGCTAAGCCAGTACGTGATATTTCTAAACACATACATATTATAGACTAGTTTTTGCACGCGGCTGCGCCTGCGTATATCACGTCAGTTATCGCGGTTAAAATGTAGTCTATTTCCTTCCTCAAGAATAAAACTATCTTCATTACAAATTTCATGTAAATCGGTTTAGCGGTTATTGATTCCCCATACAAACTTCCAACAATTTATTCACCCCCTTAAAGGGTGATTTCTAGGATAAAACTATCCTATTTCCTTTCTTTTAGGAGAGGCCTATGTCCAGCAGTGGACTGTTAAAGGCTGTTGATGATGATGATGATGATGATGATGATGTCCTTTCGTGGGACTCAAATTATTTCTATTCCAAATTTCATCGCAAGCGGTTCAGTGGTTTAAGCGTGAAGAGGTAACAGACAAACAGACACACTTTTATATTTAGTATGGATAAGTTACAGAACAAACGATCGTGCTCATCACACAATTATTTGTCCTGGGTGGGAATCGAACTTAGCAGTCAGGGTCGCTAACCACCAGGTGAACAGGCCCGCCTGGGTCCTATATGTAATCTTACCTGGTTAGAAATTGATTAGATATGGTCTGATTGCTAGTCAGATGTTTGCTGACGACGTCCGCTAGAGCTGCTATGAATGTAGGATGATCATTGGGGGTGGCTGCTCGCTCTATCTGTTCCACACCAGCCTGGAACACAACATCGGCATATTTATGAAGCTTTAAATTTGTTCAGATACTTTTTGAAGTGAGTTTTGGTGGTATAAATGGTATTTCCTCTGAGCCTTACCAAACTATTTTAGGGAGAAGTAAACCCTGAAACAAACCTTGTACCAGCTTGTTTGGCCAGCGTGGTATGGTACGCCAAAATCTGCTGTCTAGAGAGGCCTATGTCCAGCAGTGAACTATTAAAGGCTGATGATGTGATGATGAGGTTGGTTATACGGCTGAACTTCGATTGTTTATGAGACCTCCACAACCCAAGTACTAGGCGATTTAGAAGTTCTGTAGAAGGACTGTTGTTGGACTCTTTAGGACTCCTGTAACGATTGCCACAGATATTCGTATGGCAACCGGGACCAACGGTTTAACATGCTCTCCGTGGCACGGTGGGGTCTCAATTTGTTAAGAATGGTCACCCATCCATAAATCGACCTGACTGGGATTGCTTAACTTTGCAATGTGTTAACCTACTCGGTTACCACTTAGCCACGAGCCCCTCGTGGTATAAAGGGGTGGTAAAAATGGTTATAAAGGTAAAATACAGAAGTTCATCACATCATCATCACAACAACAGCCTTTAACAGTCTACTGCTGGACATAGGCCTCTCCTTAGAAAGGAGGTTTTGGCCTACTATACCACGCTGGCCAGACGGGTGGGTATAGGGTTTGTGTATAGTTTTCCTTCTCTCTGCAGTGCTGTTGTCCTGCGTATTTCGCTCCCTTAGTCGGCTCTTACGACACCCAGGGGATGAATAGGGGTGGTGACACTCTGTATTCTTAATGCGTCACCACACGGATATTATCAGTTGAATTTTGGTTATTAAAAATGTCACCAAAGAGACGTACAAACGTAAGTCGCAGTACTCGTAATACTGCAAGTCAATAATATATAAGAATAAAAGCCTGGTCGCAACACGTATTGATTGGACCAATAGGCAGGGGGGAAGCCTGCTTTCCCCGGGATAGGGCCTGCCTAGGCGCGGCGTCGATCCAGGGCGGACCTGTTCTGGGTCCTCCTCAGAGCAGGGCGCCCGAGACTGGCTGTCGGGGTGGTCCCGAGGAGCCGGAGATCCTAAGGGATTTACCACCTCGTTAACAAAAAAAAGCAGAGCCTGTGCTATGCTAACCAGACTGCTGATAAACATAAATTACACACAGATATTCAAATGATCGTGCTCATCACAAAGTTATTTGTGCTCAGTGGGAATCGAACCCACGACCTCTGACTTAGCATCTAACTAAACAACAGGCTCATGTATGTATGTATGGTGCAATATTTATTCGTAAATTACTTACCTGTTTAGCGATTTCATTACAATATTCAATATCCAATTCGTGTAATGTTTCTATATGTTCATTGACAAATGCAATTGGTACTAATATGATGTGTTTCTTTCCTTGTTTTACGTACGCCTGTGGAATGAGAAGAAAAATTTAAAAAAGTAATAACTATAATCAAAGAGGCATCCTTCAGCATCTACAGGGTGTAAGTGACGGTGTAACGAATACTGAAATAGTGTATTTAGACAATCATTCTCAGTCGAAAATGATTGGAATTTTCCATTTTATTGTTTATAAATGATATCACAATGAGTAAATCGAACATTTCACGGATTTTTTAAAATAAATATTGATACGGGCAAAAACTGCAATATAATTAATCAAACAGCCGAAGCGCGTGGTTCCTCGTGTGCTAGTGTGGATAGACTGTTTGCACAGAATATTAATGTAGCTGTTATTACTTTTGTGCGATACCTGGGAATGACCTAAATGTTTGATAGCTGATTGTATAAAACGCTTAATTTTTCGACAATAAAGACCAGTGATTTTCGACTCAGCATGATGGTCTAAATACACCGTTCTTTACATGCTGTATGTTCTGGCTCCACCGGAGTGTTAAACAATTCTTGAGTTGCTTTTTACTAAGTTACCAGCTGCCTTATACCCTTTCTTTATGGAGGGGAGAACACAAGGAGCAACGGTGCAACCGCCACGCTCTTGTCTTTACACAAGAGTGTTGCAGAGTTGCTCTACTACCATCAGTGTACTACCACGGCCCATGATCACCTGCAACCCAAAGGGGCTGTGCTAGTAGCCATCAGGTGACAAGTCTGGGTCAAAATATATAATTATACACTATAATTATATATTTTGAATTTGTCGATGTGGATAGTCATATCGGCCCATAATTGCTAAGAGCCTCGACCTTCAAAAGCTCATGTTAGGCAGCTGGTTTAATGCAGAAAGAGTACGCAAATTTGTTTGTTTTTATTGATTATGTAATTAAATATCAATTTGACCACATAAATGGTGCAATGATCGGCCCCACTCTTCGGTTCGATTCACAAATGGGATTAAAATATTTTTTTTTAAAGAACTCCCGCGCTAGGAATATATCCTATGTAGCAGAACACTTTACATATATGTAACGGACACAAAGAACACCCAGATCCAGAACAACAGTTTGTGGATCACACAAAGTGGTATCCCGTGTGGGGATCGAACCCACAACACTCTGCGCAGTATGAGGTGACCGCTTAAACCACTACAGCATCCATGCAGTCAATTATGGAATCTAAAACTATTTATTTAACTTACCTTGATAGCATCATCCGTGTAAGGCTGTAGCCAAGTCAATGGACCCACTTTGGACTGCCAGACTAACCTATAGGGGTTCTTAATCATGAGGTGCTGCATAGTGGCTGCCATCGTCGCCGCTACCTCGTGGGGATACGTGTCCCCGCGGGACACAGCCTGGGGATTTGGATAGTTGAATAAGAATTAATTATTTTAAAATTTAATAATTTATAGCAATACAGAGTGTCAAAACCCCTATTCATCCCGTGGGTGTCGTAAGAGACGACTAAGGGAGAAAACTACACAGAACAACAGCACTGCAGAGAGAAGGAGAACTTGACACAAACCCTATACCAACCCGTCTGGCCAGCGTGGTATAGTAGGCCAATACCTCCTTTCTAAGGAGAGGCTTATGTCCAGCAGTGGACTATAAAAGTGCCACTACAGCATACGATTGCCCGCAGCGTAGCTCGCGTGATTTAACTTTGAAATGATGAACCATTGTGTCCTATTTTACCCCCCTAGGGGTGAAATCTCCAAAAATACTTTTTTTAGTGGGTTACCGTATACTTCAACATAAGAAGCATCAGCTGCCAAAATTTAAAGTTTGTAACCCCAGCGGTTTATACTCTGCGTTGATGAGTCCATGTTCGTGTGAGTGTGGTGACTGATTAAGAATACGGAGTGTCACCACCCCTATTCATTCTGTGGGTGTCGTAAGAGCTGACTAAGGGAACAAACTGCACAGGACTGCAAAGAAAAAGAAAACTTGATACAAACCCTATACTAGCCCGTCCGGCAAGAGTGATATAGTAAGCCTATGTCCAGCCGGAGTCGGTTAGTGGTTCAGGGCAAGTATTTTATCAGTACGGATGACAGTTAGTCAAAAGGGGGGCAACTCACTAGTGTTGTGATGTCCCTGGGCTGCGGTAGTTGCTTACCATCATGTGACAAGGCTGATCGTTCGTAAGTAACTCTTTTTCGTTGCTTTTACCGATTGAGAGAGGTCTCCGAAACCCAAACCTTCCCTCCCCCTGATACTTGTAGAGGGAATCAAAAGCCGTCAACACATTTGTGACTACTGAGTTGCTGCTGAGGTATACATGAGCGGTGGGGGTCGCTTACCATGCTACGTATGCTACAAAAAAGGTAGGTACTCACTTTTAAAGGTAGGCTGTGCGCAGTGAACAGTATTAGGACATCGTCTCTGATTGAAGGGTCGAAGAGTTTGAGCTTCTCATCTATTCTCTCAGCGAAGACCTTCCCCAGAAGAGGGTGAGTTGGCCACCTCTCTATCATACTGAACTTTATGGTTGTAGGTATTTTCCTGAAAATGATCCTCATATTAAAGAAGAAACTGCCAGATTAATTCACTGACTGATCGATATACGCACAGCTGGGTCTAGAAGCATTAAATTTTGAAGCATCATTAGATATACCACAACATTGTTTTTTATGTAATTATGTAATTACAGAGTTTTACCATACCTGTCTTTGTAGAAGTCAGCTATGGCGTTCAAACTGGACCCTGTGGTTGCGCAGCTGTACTGTGGGTACTGAGAAAATATGACAGCCCGTTCGATGCCATCTCTGGAACATGAAAATACAGAAGAAAAAAAGGTTTTTTAATTTTTCAGCGTTGTGGTTGTCATTATCATTATCAATATGACTAAATTCATCAATATCACCATCATTAGCAAAATCATCATTAATGCCACGATCATTTCCATCAATATTATCATCAGGATTAGGATCAGGACCTTCAGGATTACCTTTGATCCTTTTACATACCTAAAAATAAAGTAGCGTCTTTTGCTAAGGCGTGTGCTGAAGCATATGTGATAATCTTACTTCTTACTTTTTTAGTCTTAATAAGATAATAAACATCATTAATGACTAAAAAATAATATAGTTTAAAAAAACTAAAAAAACAAGATTTGTAGCTAGCCGAAAATACTTTTCTATAAGTTCAAAAAGAAAAAAATAATATCGTAAAAAAGCGTGGGTTGCTTTTCAAGGTATTTTATAATTTAATATACTTACTTTTACCAATATCTGTTAGGAAAATATTTTTACAACAACTGAGAACCAGCATCCCACGCTTTTTACCACAAAATGATTTTTCTTTTTGATCTTACAGAAAATTATTCCCTTCTGTTTAGTTTGAAATTTTATAGGGTTTTTCTGGCATAAAAAAAAAGTATCACTTCTGCCGTGTGTGAATTACACACACACACTTTTTTTTAATCATTTATATAAGCAAATAAAACCAGTTTTTTTTTTCGCTTTTTCTGATCTGAAACGTAACTAATCAAAACTGCAACCTGATTTTCTGTCGAAAGTTTTATCACCATAATCATCACAATCCTCATCATCAATAGTTAAATAAATATCAGCCACTGGGCGACTACTTCTGCTGTCAGATCTTACCTGATAACATCTTCTAGAAGTACTTACATCTCAATTTGTTCAAAGGTGTCATGTGTGTACGGGCGTACATATCTAAATGCCACATAATGTTTGAATGGTGCCATCGTCAGCTGCATCTGGTCCAAAGCCGCAGTCAACAGTTCCCCTGTAAGTAAAAGGTCTTGGTCGTACACACTCACTCATATATCCCAAAAGTGTTGTATCACAAATTGCCATGTTTAATTTTTCCCACTAATCTAATAGAAAGGTTTTGTCGAAGTAAAGTATTACTAGCAGAATACCGATTCAACTTTAAGTCACAATACGTTATAATCTAATTACAGTCAACGTAGAATGTTTAATATTTGGCTGCCAGAATACCTTTTAAGATATTTGTAAGATCGAGAGAAGATCGGAACTAAATACAGAACGAATTTTTATGACGAGAGTTGACCTTCTAGTAGTTAAAGGATTAGATGGTAACATTGTCCCATAGTAGGTCAGATATTTTGCTCATACGGAGACAATAGCTCCAGTTGTTCATGGTCACAGTCCATCCGACCAGGAACTGCTCCTGGCATGAACCTTTGGCTGAATCCGAGCCTAAAAAATCCACGCTAATATTGTAATTGTGAAACTGTGTATGTCTGTTAACTCTTCTCTGATGAATTGATACTTGAAATTTGGTATAGAGATAGTTCGAGTCCCAAGTTTTTATCCAGAAATTATCCTTTAAGGGTTGGAAAGAGGGGTGAAAGTTTCTATGAGGAATCAATAACCACTGCACCGATTTAGATAAAATTTAGTATGGAGAGTTTGAGTTGTGAGGAGGAGCATCTACCATCCCGGTCCTGGACAGTCCGCATCTATCCGCTGCCAGCCACTGTCTTTAAAGCGTCGGTCCAACGTGCCACAAGGCGCCCTACACTACGTTTGCCTAACTGTATTCTCCACGCTAACTCTTGTCGGCTCCAGCGATCATTACGCCTGGAGACATGACCGGTCCACTTCCACTTCAGCGTACTGACTTTCCGTGCGACGTCGGTTACTCTAGTTATCTGTCGAATAACTTCGTTTCGAATTTTATCGAGTAGAGAAACATCCAGCATCGCACGCTGTGCGATTTTAAACTTGTGGACCAGTCGGACGGTGAGTGTCCAGGTCTCGGTTCCGTATGTCATACTGTCGCTGACTTCATTTATTGTAATTAATTTTTAAATAAATTATGTCTATTACATGTTTAAACTGTGTTTATTTAAATACAAACCTAACCTTGTAACAAATCGTTAATCGAAGACACTGGAGGATAACCAAGATTAAATTCTCAAAAACTTATTAATTAATGAGTTCCTGACTAACTGACCCACGCAACTTTTTAAAATTTGCCCCGTTTTTGCAACAATTTTCATCGAGGCTCGACTCTTATGCTATAAACATCACGTAGCGTGACCATCGCTACGTTATGTTTATAGCCCTACAGCCTTCCTCGATAAATGGGCGATGCAACACTAAAATATTTTTTCAATTCGAACCAGTAGTTACTGAGATTAGCGCGTTCAACCAAACAAAAACTCTTCCGCTTTATAATATTAGTATAGAATCTATAATATAGATTAACTATATTATAATATTAATACCTTGTTTATTAGTCCATCTGAGGATGGGAGAACCACCCCCGATCTCCATGTACTTTTTCTCAACTTCAGGTGTTCGCCTCGCAGCTATCCAAGGCCCCAGTCTGCTCTGGACTGGCAGTTGTATCATATCACGGTCTGTCATAATGCGGAGTAAGTAATCGCCCACCTAGGAAGAAAAATAATATTTTTTTGCAACTTTTTTCCGTTATGTGTAGAGGTGTGATAATAAGTAACAATCGCTGCGAATGGGTACCAAATCAAGAGGCAGTCTTTACCCCCTCCCTCCTCCCCAAAATTTGAGCGGCAAATGTGAATACCATCAAAAGATTTGCTGTTTCTGCTTAAAAGTGGTTTTCTGTGACGCCGTGCTACCACTCCGGCTAAGCAGGACCATATGAGTCAAATTATGGCTCTCCCACTGTAATATTGCAAAATCCTCCAGTCGCTATACATGTTCCTAGTAGCCTTAGATATATTGCGGAAATTTATTGAAAATAATAAAGGACACAGTGTGCCGCCTTGAGGGACACCACAGTCTAGAACGTGTTAGCTCGAAAAAGATTAGTTGACACAGACATAGTGCTGGCGTCCTCGAAGATTTGCCCATAGAACCAGTCTAGTGTATGGGGTAGAACCATAAGATAAGAGAGGATTGATAGAAGGATATCGTGATTGGCAATGTCAAAGGTTTTCCTGAAGTCGAATGTTTCATATGCCACTAATGGAAGGCTCGCTCGTTTTTTGTTCAATCTTTACTCTGCATTTGACTTAAGTTTACAATTAGTTATGATAAGAATATAATGATCAATTGACTAATTATCTGGAAGTACCATTTTATATCAAAAAAGGTTATCTACAAAACTGATAAGATACTGTATATAAATGAAAAACTATTTATTTGTATTGCAAGAGTATTGCTTGAGAATGACTGGACAAATTTGACCTAGATTTTCTTATACATATTTAAAAATAACTTCAAAAGGTATTTAGAATAAGAAAAACTGCTTGCTAGTAATATGTGAAAACTTTCATGTTTTTTATGGTAGTAGGCAAAGGAGGAGACTAAGGACCTGCAACTCTAGATTCCAAGTGTGCTACCCATTGAACCTCCCCCCGCCCCAGAATTACCGAGAGGGGGGGGGGGGGGTGAGACTCCGGTAGTACTAATAATAATAAGTAATTGAACCAGTGTTAAGCAATTCTTTCATTGCTTTCACCGAGTGAGTAATTATACCGGATGCAAAACACCCTCCTTAATTTAAGGTTACTACCAGCAAAAACAGACTGTTCCCACTGAGTGTCATACTTCTCCTTATTATGATCGACTGCATAGATGGCCTAGTGCGCTAAGTGGTCGCCATGCCGCTTTAGATCCCCCACATGGGACAACACTTGTGTGATCCACAAATTGTTATTCTGAGTCTGGGTATTCTTTGCATCCGTTTCATGTATGTTTGTAAAATCCCCCGTGACACAGGATATTTTCCTATTGAGGGAGTTGTCTTTTCTTAAAAGAAAGAAAGAAAAAAAAACAAAATGTATAAAGTCTTACCTCCTGTGTAGTCTCTGGTCCACCCATATTAAGCATAATAATAGCTGTCTTTGGTTTACTTATAGGCTTTGAGGTACTGAATGCAGCCATCTGCGGCAGCAGCAGTTTCTTTGAGCGACCTGGAACAAAATTTAAATAAAGATTTGATAATATCAAAGATTTGCATCTTTGTTAGAGGGTTTGGACAACATGGAATCACACAGGAATGATGCTGTAGATGAGCCGGCAACCTCAGCCACCGGCTCAACCACAAAAAAAGATTTAGAACAATTATTGTGCTAATTGAATTGAACAATTATTATGAAATTTAGCATAATTATTCTTCAAATAAGATTCTTTTACTTATTCTATATAACATTCTTAACATTGAAATCTTATTTCTTGATTAGACTTTGCATGTTTACACATAAATTAACATAATTTATTAATTATTAAAAATAATTGATTCCATTTTTACAATGGACCTTATCCAATTTAATATTTTATCAGTACCTTACAGTGTAATGTTTTTGAAACTATGAGCCATCATAAAATTTTATCATACATAAGTGCACGCTAGAGTCGCCTCTACCACTGTGCGTGAATCAGAGTGTCCTGGGTAACTCAAGCAAATACCTTGAATCAACTCAGTACCTCTGGCATTTGCCCCCCAGGCTAAGTTAAACAGAATTCACAGAGGGTTGTAGAGCATACTCGCTGCGAGATCAGTACTGGCATAAACAGCCTTTAATAGTCTACTGCTGGACATAGGCTTCTCCTTAGAAAGGAGGTTATAGCCTACTATATCAACGCTGGCCAGGAGGGTTGTTTTACGATTTGTGGCATCTCTTTACAGTGCTGTTGTCCTACTCGTTTGCTCCCTTAGTCGCCTCTCATGACTCCTACAGGATGAATAGGGGACCTGTAATGTGCGCGCCGTTAAATACTGCGCATAGCTCATAGACTGTGAGTGAAGCTGAGCTCTGCGCTCATACATTTTTAAGATTTAAACCAACTCAAAGGCAGTGATAATTTTTAATACAAAACATTTCAAAATGATTTAATATATTATAGGAAAAGTCTGCCGGATAATTACGATAAATATGAAAGGTTTTGATTGTGTTTTTTTTTTAACTAATTCAAAAAATTTAAGAAACAACAATTATTGCTAACGTAACCAATACTAAAACAGCTAATAAAGCTACATACGTGTAGAACAATACCAATAATTATCATAAATAAATATTACCATTGATTTGTTAAATTCGTTGTAAAATTATTCAATACTTACATATTAATGACAGCATTTTGAAAAATTATCTATATGTATATATAGGAATGTCTAAATTGCTTTTGTTTACTACGCAACTATATAAATTAAATGCGATATAAATATTTTTTACGATAATTTGCGTTATTTATCCATAGTTATTCGCCGGAATCTTATTGAATTTGACAGTATCATTACTGAATGAACCATCTATCTATAGTATCCTATTCATTCAATCATGAACATGAAACTTGACAAGTAAACGAAATAAAGTACTTTAGAAACAATAAAATTAAAGTATCAAATTAAACTTAGTACAAAAATGTAATGATGATATTTGTCTAGTTTTTCACTTCTTACAGATGTAAATAATATTTTATATCAACAGATTTTGAATTATTTGGGTAAAATTTTTCTTAACTTTGTTTAAAAAACTATCTTTGTATACGTAATTTCAAAAGAACGAGTGAAGTGAAACTGAAAGGGACTCAGATGTGAATGAATTGTCAATGGTGTATTTACATCCAACGTCAAGTATTATTTTTGTGATTTAAAAAAGTAATCTTCTATTAGAAGTATCATTTTTATCAGAATAAGATCAAATATAATAAAAATGTCTTGTCGCAACGCTTCGCATGCTGGCTCCTGGTACACGGAAAATGGTGAGTACCTGCCTTAATTAATCATTTTCTTTGTTTTTAATTATATATCATCTATCTACTATCTCGGTAAGAATAAAAACGGGACAAAGGTGTAGGTAGATTGTTATTTTTTTTAATGTTCTCCAGTCTAAAGAAGTAGATTGTTAGGGCAGTGAAAAGTCAAAAGGTTAGTGACCTTTACCAGAGTTCATTTTTTGTGAATGTAATTATGTATGTGCATTGAGTTGCAGTATTGTGTGAATATAAGGCAAGGGCAAGCGTTATTTTCGGTGTTGAGTCGTATTAAAACGTAGTAGACACAACAATGCTTTGTTTAGAAATCAAAATGATATTCTGCCTGTTGAACAGTTGAAGCCTTTTCGGATTTTAATATTGAAAAGTTTATTAACACAAATTGAAACTTCTATCAGATTAGAAATAAATAAACGTGATTTTAAAAACACATTTTTATATCTTTTGACCTTTTTATAACTGAGTCATGATATTAAATATTCATCTTGACCTATACTTTTCGAGTCATTGGTGTTGCTACGTTTAGAAACTTATACGTCATACTTTGAAAGAAATCATCAATGAATATTTATGAAATAATTAGTTTAAAAAAAGGATATTCCGTTTAAAAACTATAATTAAGGTTAACTCTTAAATTAAACAGAATGAGAACGGAAAATATTAAAACTTTTATTTAATGAGTGTGTTCACCAATTCAGAACGAAACCGGTTGTTTCGGTTACCATGACAGCTATTTAAAAACAAACGTCAAACTTACATTGCATCTACTTTACTAATTTCGTAAACAAAATATTTTTCTACGTCAAATAGTATTATGGCTGATAGAACGAAATCGGCGGCTCTCGGAGCTAAATCGGTTAAACCGAAGCGACCGTCAACAACCAACGTCGCAACTTCATCCCGGACAAAAATAGCTTCAAAAGATAAACTTCCTACCAGTCGACCAAAAAAGGATCTTGATACCACGCTTTTGAATAAGGAACAGGTTCTTCCGGACTTCGATGATGAATACCGCCAAATTGCTTATGGTCGCTTTATGCGAGCTATGCTAGAGGAATGTTTGGTAGAAGAAAAAATTGATCGGGAAGAGACGCAAATGGATTTGCAGATGGCACAATTAGCTGAAAGGTTCCAAAAAACGATGGATCAACTGGACAAAACCAACAGACGACTTAAAGATATATCATTCGTTGTAGAACAAAAGAGGTGAGTCACCATTACAGTTATTTCTACTTCCCTCATTGCATGGTAAATCTAATTACTAAAGAAAAGGTATTTTTACATCCTGACTTTTATGAGCTCATGAAGATTGTTTGGATAATAACTTTGTTACTGTGCTGGCATTAAGATACATTTGAAAGTGAGTCATTCTCACACAAAGTGGGAATTCATATTTCTTTGCTTTATGGCTTCAGTTAGTCTATAATTTAGTTTATTTTGATTCTTAAACTTTTATCAATCAAATGATAACTAGTAATAAGCTCTAATTTACAACTTAAAAGATCAGTTAGCTAGTCACAGCCTTGTTAAGATGCAATACACACCTCAAATTAATCTACATAGCTGTATGTAAGAAGCCAAAAATCAAGGCCTATGTCCAGCAGTGGACGGCGATAGGCTTAAGATCATCAGATTATGCCTTAGATGATTATGATGAACCTACATTTTTGATAAAATGATCAATGTAGATTTGACTTTCAATATCCATACTGAGCTTTATGGCCAGTTACTATGAGAATTAATACAATCACATATCAAAGGGCCTAGTTCAAGTTTATTTTACATTACGCTTTCTATAGTGAGCATGTTCAGCATAGTGATTGGTGAAGATTTCAGTGTGGGCCAATCACAGCCAGAACGTGGTCACCATGACGATCGAGGAGATGTGAAATAAACTCACACTTGAGCTTGACTTCATGGGTGGACTATCGGTCACTTAGTAAATCAATTTGTAAATAGTAATTTTGACTAGTTTTTTGATCTAGTGTTTACTGACCCTGACTGTTAAGCCAGAGGTCATGGGTTCGATTCCCACCCAGGATAAATAATTCTGTGATGAGCATGATCATTGTTCTGTGTGTAGGTGTAATTTATTTAAATATATGTATGTACTGAGAAATATATAAGGATAATTATCAGCAGTCTGGTTACCATAGCACACAGGGTCTGGTTAGTTTGTGTAAAAGATGTGTGTGAGATGTCTGAAGTTATATTATAAAAAAAAAAAACTTTGTAATGCAACTACTTCTTGTTTTCTCTCCATCACCCAAAGGTTGAGAGGTAGGGAATGCCTAAAGCAATAAATCTCCCTCTCTTCTACAAGTACACAATGTTTAAATTATAGTAAAGCATTAAATTTCTACTTTACAGTCTGTATAACCTCAAAAACAATGATTGCGAGCAATTCTATCAAATGACAGATGATTCCAATGCTGAGATGCTACTAAAAGATTTGGCAGCAGCAGAGCAACCAATATTAGACAAAATTGAACTCCGTAATGTTGATTTTGGTTATAACAATACATCGGGTCACAAACAGCTCTTAGATGCTGTTAACGATGCTATTGAAGGGTTGACAAATATAAAAAAAGAATCAAAACTGGATCCGCAGAAGTTTGAGGAGTATGAACATTCGAAACAGAATATTGAAGAGCTAGAAAGCGATAAATTTGATTTGGAAAGTTTAAAGTCCGAGTTTGAGGCTAAGTTCCCAAAGTTCAGTGAACGGTTGATACAGGAGGCTTCTGAAAAGATTGCCAAGATGATTGAAAATGATGAGAAAAGTGATGATGATGATGAGTTATAAATTTTATTTTAGTATAAATAAGTAGCGTGTATGTTATGTGTTGTTCCTGCGATAATGGCAATTTCTGTTGTATATGTTTTGAAAATTTACTAAGATCTATGTATGTTTATAGGTTGTTTTTATAAATAAATATTGCAGACAAATAGTCTTTTATTTTAAAATAATGTTATATAGTATAAGGCCAGTTGATGTTCAGAAAGTCATTCTTCTTGTAATAAAAATTTGTTCAAAATTCAGAACCAATCAACTCTCGATCTCACAAATGTCAGAAAAGGTATTCTGGCTTGGGGGTGACAGGTGTCTTTAACCCTAGCAGATGCAGAACGGGGTGGCAGGGGCACGTGCTGTGAAACGCGCGCGCCCTTTAAAAAGAAGGGGATACTGTGGTTCTCATACACGAGGGCATCTAAGTCGTAGATGGCCTTGGGTAACAGGGATTTCCTTCCTAGTTACAGCTGGTTCCCCGGCTACTGGTACCCGAGACGGCGTGTGTTTTGAAGTCGTTACGAGTCCGACATATTACGGACGACCGTCCGGTTGGGGATGTTTTCAGAGGGATTTCCGCACGAAAAAAAAATTACAAATGAAACTGTGGCATAAATGATTTCTTAAAAAAAGAATTAAGACAAACTGTCCTATCAAAATTTCATACATGCAATCACAATTACAGAGAAGAGCCAAAACCACTTCTATTAATTTTGCACTCAAGATTTGACCAAAACTAAATGACATTGCCAGTTAAATTAATGTTGTACTACCTATTTGTTTAGGTAGCGAATTATCCCGTCAGTTGGACCTCTGGTTGTCCAAAGCAGATCTTACCCATGGACCAGCAAGAGCTATCATTGCGCCGTAAGTATTAATACTGAAGTAAAATTAAAAAAATACTTAAAACTTTCGACGACATTACAGTTCACTCCTTAAGAATCGTTTTTCCTATAAGCCGGTGTAAAAAAAAAATTAAGAGTAAAATTGAGTGCACATTTCACATGTGTGTGTATAACTTGTGTGCAGCCGAATTTTTCTTATCGAGTAAACTCCAGTCGTGCGTCGGAGCTGACACACACTTTTTTCTTCTGTTAAGGGCTTATTACACCATGCGGTATTCAGACAGTCTTACTAAGATTTAGCTTAATGTAATAAGAGCTAGAAGGTTAGCTTGTCTAATTAGACTGACCGAATGGGTTCGGCCGTGCTTACTCGCTTGCTTGCTGAATAGTGTAGTGTAGTGTAATAAGCCCTTTAGCAAGGTACGAGTAGAACACTGGAAGTCAAAGAATCGGAGTCACATAAATTTCGAAAACTAAGAATGTTAGCTTAGTGAAATAAATTGTGTTTAATAGACAACAAAATTGACTGCACCTACTGAGTGTTTTGGGTTCAATGCCCACATGAGACAACACTTAGTGAGTCTAGACGTTCTTTGTGTCCGTTTCATGCATGTTTGTAAAGTCCCCCGCGTCACAGGATATATTCTTAGTGCAGGAATTGTCTGTTATATATCTATACTCGTACATATATATATTTTTCAGACACGCGGGCTATTCTTACTGCGGGGCGTGCGCTGGCTTTGCGTACAGACAAGTCAGCCCTGTTGTCGTGTAAGTACTAATATAATTTAGGGTAAAGGACATTTAACTATGTTTTGTTTTGTTTAAATAGCGGTAAGTTTTGTACGTGTTGTGACGGATTAAGAATACGGAGTGACACCACCCACCCGTATACATCCCGTGGGTGGAGAGCCGACTAAGGGAGTAAACTACGCTGGACAATAGCACTGCAAAGAGAAGATAAATTGAAACCCTATACCAACCCGTCTGGCCAGCGTGGTATAGTAGGCCAAAACCTTTCTAAGGTGAGGCCTATATCTAGCAGTGGACTATTAAAGGATGTTGATAATGATGATGTTTCGACAAGAACCTGTTGGAGTTGAGGTATTCGACCCTGGACTTTGCCATCTTTTCTTATCTTCTCTTCTGACCTGATTCCTAAAGACTGTGTCCTAATTGTCCCATTGCCAAGACTGCCTCGGTAGTGCAGAGGTAGCGTATACGACTGCTGTGCTGAGGTCTCGGGTTCGATTCCCGGTTCGACCAAAATGTTTCGTTTACAAAAGAACGGCGTGAGGGGTCAATGCCCACAATGACGGGGTCTATGGACCCCGGTCTGAACGAAGTTCCTTTCGATGTTTGGTAAACCTTAGCTATACAGTCTGCTTTAAACTTAGTGTCGGAAAAAAGTCTTGTTACACATTTCTTCGGACTCGCTACCATCCGCTCAGAGGAGTTCATTCAGTTGAATATATACATAAGTATAATATAAAGAAAAACCTTTATTTAACTGACAATTATACGGATATTCCAATAAAAAAACGGTTATTTGCCAACTTAAATATCTCGTTTCTTTCTCGATTTTAACTAGTAGCAGATGTCGATTTATCTATATTGTATTTGATTTAAAACTATCGATAGCTTGGCAACACTACAATATTGTCTATGATCTCTACCCAAATACTAAAGCTGACATGTACCATAAACATTTTTTTTTCTTTCAGCAAACGTATATTCATCTTAGGACCGTCTCATCACGTCCGGTTAGGAGGCTGTGCTCTCTCATCTCTTGACAAATACCAAACTCCATTATACGATCTCACTATTGATAAGCAAAGTAAGTTATATGGTCTATGGTGGTTTTTTTGGGCTCCGTAGTTCTAATAAAGATTGAGATCTTAGCTATGATAGTGTTAACTAGGGAGTAAAATAAAAGTTAAAAAGAATCTTTGATGTGAGGATGAGGATACATCCAATGCGGAGGGTCAGACCGACTGTTGGCGTGGCGATTTGGCGCCACGCTAGATTAAAAAAAAAACATCTGAATGAATTTTTGACTTGAATTTTTCTATATTTATTGTTTCCTTTCATAAGATATCCTTTTTATATGCAATATTTCTAGAAACTGATTTCGATGTCCCACATATGCCAGATTTTTGTTTTAGTTTTCTCCCTACACCCTACACGTATTTAAAAATCATCGAAATTGTGTTGTCTATTTTTCGATTGAGTAATATAAAACATTTGCTAATATTTATATCTATTGACCGACCTATTAATCTCGTGGTTAGTGACCCTGACTGCTTAGCCGGAGGTCGTGGGTTCGCTTCCCACCAAGTCATTTGTTCTGTGTCTGTGCTTAATTTATGTATAACATGTATATTTGATAATGTGTAATTTATGTATAATATGTGATTTTGATGAAGATGTGTATTTTTAGAAACATACAAGTATGTTTACCAGCAGTTTCGTTGGCATAGTACAGGCCCTGTGGGGTTTGAGATCACACGGGCCGTGTGTGAGACGTGTTAAGTTATTATCAAAACAAACTGCGGACACGCACTTGACCAATTTCTTTTAACAGTATACGCAGAGCTAGAAGCGAGCCGGCAGTTCGAATGGATGGACGTGCAAACAGACGAAGATGAACATTCTATTGAAATGCATCTCCCTTATATTGCTAAAGTTATGGAAGAGTAAGTATTCTTATACATATATATTTCATAGTATAGGTGGCAAACCAGCAGACGGGTCCTGATTGTGACTACCGCTGACACCTGAAACTCAAAGAGTCACTAGAGCGTTATATGTCTTAAGAATCAAATCTGATAAGGTACTAAACTCTGGTCACTTATCAAATGAGTGAGTGAATTGCAAAAGAGTGGCCATGAGTTGTTTGCCCTTTCTTCTCATGAGGCTCAACCCCTTGGAAACGGGCGGTTGTAGATCGGCACAGGCATATCATAGATTTTGTATGGGTTTGATTTTTGTTAAATTTATTTGGTTACTATTTGACAAAACATAGATTGTTGCTTTTGTGTGTGTTGATCTATGACTTTAGAGTCTACATGGAAGACGATTTCAAACAATTTTGGAAATTTTATGGAAATAAAGAAAGTTTGAGTTTGAAAGGAATCGGTTGATTTGTTGATTGAAAAATAAATTTAACTTGTGTATGTTGCATGGTGCATATATGCTCCTAAACGGATTAACCGATTTTAATTAAATTTTTCATAGAGAAAATTCTAGAAAAATTCGAAGATTATCAGTTCGTCTCTTATTGTTAAAGGTAATTTCAATTTAAACTTGTTACAGATTTCAAACAGCCTTCACGATAATCCCGATTCTCGTGGGTTCCCTGACGCCTGAGAAGGAAGCCAAGTACGGAGCCATCCTGGCCCCCTACCTGGCGGACCCTCAGAATTTGTTCGTTATATCTTCTGACTTCTGCCATTGGGGGAACAGGTTCCGATACACGTGGAAAGATTCATCCAGGGGTCCTATTCATCAGAGTATCGAGTGGTTGGATAAACAGGTAAAATTAAGTCTTCTTCTTTAATGTCACCTGATGGTAAGCGGTTATCGCCGCCCTGTACATCTGTGACTAAAGAGACAAATATGTTGCAGCTATTTGAGTGCCTCCCACCCAGGAATTAAGGGAAGGGCCCCTCCCTTCCCTTAATTCCCTTGGACCTCCGATGACCTTAGTCACTCGGTTAAAAGTAATGACAAACTTGTTTATTAAATTTTAATATCAAAGGCCCTAATATCGTCAGTAATGACGTCACCCATGGCTGTCCCACGATAGGACTGTTCGAAGGAACTTCTCAAAATTGTTTAACATGCTTTAGACGCCATTGTCGTGTATCCGCGACAGATTTCATCTTTAAATTTGCTTCTGTGTACTTGTTTTTATTGACAATTAAAAAAAAAACTAAATTTCCAGGGTATGGATATCATTGAGAAGATGGACCCTCGAGCCTTCACGGAGTACCTTAATAAATATGGCAACACGATATGTGGCAGACATCCCATAGGAGTGCTTTTAAATGTAAGAATGAATGAATAATAACTCCCTAACATCTCCCTCCCCCACTCCCCATCCCCCACTCCCAATCCCTCGCACACACCCGTCTATCCCAAACTAGGCAGACCTTGTACTAAGGTAACCAGACTGCTGATTAACATACTTAAATATCTCTAAATACATATTACATATTGTAGATAAATACACACAGACACAGAACAAATGAACTAATGACCGAGCTCAACATACAAAACACAAAATTATACAAAATAAATCCTAACCCCCCCCCCCCCCTCCAACAATCAGGTGTAGGGAAGGTAGGTCGGGGTACCAGGGCTTTCCTTTCTAGGGTATACCTGGTTCCCCGGCTACTGGTACCTGGAGACGGCGTGCGGTTTTTGGTCGGTTCTAGTCCGACATAATCACCCACTGGTGGGTGGCATCCGAGGGGAGTTCGGCACCGAAAAAAAAGGGGGGTTGGTTTGAATTTGAAACGGTAATACAATATGTATGTATTTAGAAATACATAAGTAAGAATATCAGTAGTCTGGTTACCATAGCACAGGCTCTGCCTAGTTTGGGATCAGGTGGTCCTTTGTGAGATGTGTGTATAATTATTATTATTTTTATTTCAGGCCATAGTAAAGCTCCGTAGCCAGACAAATTCGCCGCGTATGTCTATGAAATTTCTCAAATATGCCCAATCGTCTCAATGTACGAGCATGCAAGACTCCTCTGTCTCCTATGCCAGTGCTTCTCTAGTGTTTGAGTAAAAGATTTGGGTATGAGTACCGCGTGGATACGGTTGAAAGGGCGAAAGATGAGTGACGTTTGTGTTTGATTTGAGACGGTCTTAAGCGACAGATTGTAGTGAATGACTCGCCTTGTGTTGTGACGTTCATATTTTTATTTCAAAATTATTGAAAAGATCCATAATATACTTTAAAAAGTTATTTTTCTATATACAAATATCAATACTAATATTATAAAACTGAAGAGTTTGTTTAGTTGAACCCGCTAATCTCAAGAACCACTGCAATTTGCGGGATATTAGCCAAAAGACCTTTAAAATAAGAATCAAAATATAAAAATATCGTCTTCAAAGACAGTGACAGATGTATATGCTTTCTTACTCATAATTTAGACTGGTTTTAAAAGACGTATTTTAAGTCCTAAGAATTTTGAGTTAAGACACTTTCCTTCCAAGAATGCAATAACAGTTAAATCGTATTTGTTTAAATAAAAGTCATTACTGTCACTTAAGACTTATTTGAACCATCAAAAATCGCTTATGAACTTTTCCTTTCAACCGTAACTTAATTTTAACTCTGGCAACAAACAAAAAATGGTGAAAATAGAAACATCGTGCACTATATGATAAGAATATTAGTTGTCCACATCTCTGTTGAAGATATAACCGCAATTATCGGACTGTAATCCCTACAATTATTGATTATTTGTCAAATTAAAATGACAACTGTCAAAATGACACCGTCATAAATAGTTTTATTGGACCTTCGTATCATGCCTCTGTCTCTCATAAGGTCATAAAACTCGAAATATAGTTCCTTTTTAAAATTGTGAAATTTTCAAGTTTGCCAATCGACAATTTTGGTAGAATTCGGTAGAATAATTAAATTGTTTGATTGTTTTTAACTTCATCATCATCATCATCATCAACAGCCTTTAACAGTGCACTGCTGGATATAGGCCTCTCCTTAGAAAGGAGGCTTAACTTTAAGTGAATGTAAAAAAAAACTATATTTAAGTTATTCTTTATGGCAACTTTTTATTTTATTTTGCTAACATTTTAACAGAGACATATACTCGGAATGAACTTTCTAGCCGTCCGAATAACTCTCTACAGCCGTCACAAAGCAAATGACAGCCTCCTCTTTTTCTGAAGTCAGTAAAGGAACTAGTATCATGCATTTTTTCCGCGTTTTCTAGCAATAAATTTTTGCGTGATTCTTTTCCTTTGTGAACAGTCGTCTGAAACACTATTTTAGCCTCTTCCTATTTTTTTAAACGCACATATGTATATCATATATATATATTTTTAAATTATTCGTTCTTTTTTCATTTGTACTAGAACTTTGTCACTAATACCGCAATAATCTACTGCATACTAAATAGTACTTTAAAATGATTTCTAAACGTAAAAATAATATAAAATTGTAGATTTTAAACGCATCTCACTCTAAAAAAAGGAGCGAAATGCTCTATTTTGTGATTAAATTATTATAGAATGAGAAATTAAATTGCAATCCGATAAGGAGGGTAACTTTAGCATTTATCTATTTAAAGGAAAAAATAAAATACATTTAATACATGCTCTATGGTTATTATAGTCAAGGTTGTTATTTTTGTAATAAATAATCTGTATTATATATAAAGTATTTAATGAAGATGAGGAATTAACAGACTTTGTTAGTATGCCTACTAAACTTATATCCACATATCCAAACATGGGAGTCGCTTTAAAAAAAATATTGAAATTTCATTAAATACTTTACAGATTTAAAAGAATGTAGTTCATTTTGTGATTAAATGTAACTTATAGGTATAATAGTATAAATTTAATTAATTATAGTCCTTCTAATATAAGAGGTACCGTTTGACAGTTCTGATAGATTGAAGTATAGCGATGGAGTCAAAAAAATCGATTACTAAAATATCTGATCTTAAGAGATTTCGATATCGATTAGTATGTACTTATCGATTACAGTTTTACAGATTTATGCATGTTACTGTAAAAGCCCGTGTTATGGCACATCATAGGTTTTATTAGTAAATCTTAGTAGACACTAGACTTGGACACGAGCGATTTTTGTCTACAAAGATTTATTTAAAATTAAGTTACATACTTTTAATTTTAATTATGTGTATTCGTTGCAATTTGGATTTCAGATGAATTTTAAGTATTATAAAACACTTTAAGACGCCTGGACTAAATATACTCGTTGTTAATAAATTCGATTTTTCATACATTTTAACGATTATACGTATTCAATTGAATTTGAAGAGCCGCAGCAGTACGATAAAGAACCTAACTACGTGACTTTGAAATGAAGTTTGAGAAAAAAACATGTATTGATTTTAAAGATTTAAATTTAAATGTAGTCATTAACTTGCGACAAAATAAAAATAGCTACATATCTCCATGGTTTTATAGAAAAGATTATTGAAATTGTGTGAGTTACGCCTATACAAAGTTGTTTCGCCTTGCAAAGCATGAAACGTCAAACGGTACCTCTTAGATTAGATGGACTATAGTTCATATACACATTATGTAGTGGCAACCCCATAAAGTTTTTCCCGCCTTTTCGTGGAGGCTACAATAAACCTCGGCCTATTTTTAATATCAATTATTTACCTCTTCTTTCTTACTTCTTAGTCACTTATTACTTATGAATTGAAGTGATACAGAAGTGCTACTTAAATAATTTGAATGAATTGGGGGAAATTTTAGAGGTTTATAATTATGTGGTAAAATGCTAGGCATTTTAGACAAAACTTGAAAATTTAATTTAAAAATAGATCTATTATTTTGTATGAGACAGGAGACGTTGAAATTATTAATTAAGAGGGGGACAAAATTTAATGCACTCGCTGAAAGGTTGGCAACCCACAAGTGTTTTGTGTTACCTATTCAGTTCATGCATTGAAGGCCTTTGTCATAGGAAGTCTCGGGCTGGTAGATCATTGCAAGGCCTTGTCTTCGTTTTATTGATGATACTTGGAACAAAAAATGCAACGCAACACATACCGCTGCTAGAGCATAAAAGCATAAGCCGACGACAGTTGACACTGATAGCCTGTCAAAATGACAGGCGGAATGAAACACGGGGATTCGCTGAACGTATATCAAACGCAACTAGCGTCACGTTAGTTTTAATAAACATTTTGACGTGACAACGTCTTATAAATTGGTTTGCCGGGTGACACTTCAAGAAACTGCGTTACGCTCCGCTCACGTTATGCGCTCACAATGAGAGCGAGTGAGAGGCACGCGTCCCTTCCACTCGGGCATGGTTAGCCCGCCTAAGAGCGAGAGAGACAGACATAAATTAATGTTTTAAATATAATTCTTTGTATAAATAAATGTTTTAAATTGTTACTATTATTTCATCCTTCTTCCTACTATACGAATGAATATTCACATTAAAATTATTTTACCACTCAAAGTCGTTGTCACGTAAAACTTTCGCCCGTATACCGACTTTACAGGCAACCAATTTTTTTCTAATTGGGTTGTTGCCTGAGCGTGCAAGCTCCCTCCATGAGCGAGGCTCTGGGCGGTTGCCTTGTTTGCCACCCCCAAATACCGCTCCTGAGTTCATGCATGCTCGCTTATCCCCCCCTTTCATAACTCTCGTAATGCTTCTAATCTTTGATAACATATTACTGTAAAAGTCATTTATATTTGATGGCCGAAGAATTTAATTACTCTAATTGGAGCCCTCCACGAAAGGTTTTTAGCCACTGATTGTCCAGAACCAGTCTTTATACTACTAATATGTCAATAACCGCGTAATTATTTACTACCTAAATGGATTAAAGTAACATATTGTATATTGTAAAAGGTTGTTTTTTTAGAACATATATTTAAAAAAGAATTGTAAAGGTCTTTACGCATTGCACCGTAACTCTTATCCTATCTCTGCAACGAATTATCATGAATAAACAGCTGGACATCGGCCTCTCCTTAGAAAGGAAGTTTTCGCTCACTACACTACGCTAACCAGACGGGTTTGTTTAGGTTTTGTGTCAAGTTTCTTTCTCTTTGCAGTATTGTTGTCCTACGTAGTTTGCTCTCTTCGTCGGCCCTTACGACACCTGCGGTATGAATAAAGGTGGTGACACCTTGTTTACTTAAAATGTCACCACAAGTTACATATTACGATACGGCCTTCGAATCTTCTAGTAAAGGTCCAGACAAACCTGTTAATCTTTTTTATTTTGTTTAGGTAAACCCGAGTACCTGTGATTATAAGTGTGGCTCATATCGTTCACGGAATGTTTCGATGTAATGCGCAGAGACCTTTATATTAGTATAATAATGGGGAAACTGTTGTCTTAAAAATATTTCTTAATTTCTTATTTAATCGAATCTTTGTCATCAAAAGAGCTGGACTGTATAACTAAAGTTAAATCAATTGATTTTGTAAAACTAAAATTGTATGTACTTAGTAACTGGTGCGAGTGAGAGGTCCGAGCCGAAACATATGAGTCAGAACATTTTCCCCATAACTGTTGTTTAGCGTTAATACCACATAAATAATCATATTGGTTTGTCTCAAATAAATTTATTTTTTAATTTGCAATAACTCAAATAAACTATTTTAAGTTTGCTATTATTTCGTTGTTTTATTTGTAATTAACTGTGCAACCTATTTTACTGGACTAATCGAAGGTTTAGACAAAGTTTGAGTATTCCAGAATGTTCTAAAAGTTTTCAAACAGATGTTGATTCAGGTGAGTTACAGTTATATTATTATTCTCTTTATTTACTTTATATACATATTATTTACATTTTTAAACATACATTTTATAAAAAAATATAACAAAATACATTTAAAAATATAAAAAATAGTAGACCACCGACATCGGTATATTATATCTTTATTGTATACACTAATAGAAAAAAAACAAAACAAAAGATGAGTTACAAATAGGTAAACGTAACAATCGGCGGTCTTATCGCTCACAGCGATCTCTTCCAGACAACCTTATCATGGATTTTAGGTATTTAACAATTAAGCTTAGTATA